AGGCTAATCGGATCAAGTAAATAAGTAAGTAATGTATCTTGTTTAGGTTAAAAGTTTGAACAATGAGCACAACCCCAGTTAAGTCTCCAGACTTTTTCGGCTTCGAGTGAGTATAGTCTGCTTTTATATTCAAGTTAACGTCGATCAGTGCTTCTACTTACAAAGTTTAGATTAACATTCAGAAAACAAGGCGTCCATGTTAAAAAAGTAGCATTACTAACAGAGGCTGAAGTTAAACTGTCTACATGATCGGTTTAGTTTAAAGCTGTATACAAAATACTTATCGATGCACCTCATTATCTTCTAAGGGGACGCAAATGTTTGCCTAGGAAACGGAAAAAGAAACGATGGAACAGAGTATTTGCTCTCTTAGACTGCTTTAATCAAAATACAAAAAACTAAGTGAGCAAAGGAGCATTGCAGAAGTGAGAAACGGCATGACATAATTCAGCGCAGAAAATATGTCTTAAATGTGGAGGTATGTAATGATCTGAGCGGTGATAATAGGTAATGGATTAAAGGTGATTAATTGAGGAAAAGGATTAAAAAATGCAAAAGCATTTCAATGTAGGCCTGACTAAAATGTGACGTCGCATACCATAAGGCTGAAATGAGGTCGGGTAGATGGAGAAGGAACCGCCGAAGAATGGCGTGTCAAAGGCGTTGGGTTCTCTAGAAGGTTGTGCGGGTCTGGGTACACCAGAGTTGCAGTAGTACGGTTCTGTCAGGGTTTGCGTCTCTTGGCAATAGTCGGACGACCGGACACTTAAGTAAGTGGAGTAAAAAATAACGAATGGAGAGCTACATTATGACAATATGCTTGAATAATAAAGGGCTTAGGTGTAATATCCCACAGAGGAGTCTTCTGTAGTGCCTGTAAAAGAAAATCTTCCACCTTACGGCTAGTTTGAGGACTATCAGTTGATATGTTGCAATACTGTAACGGAAGTCAAGCGAAATTAGGGATAAACGTACCGAAAAAAACAGTTGATCCAGTACTGGTTATTCGCCAAGCAAATACGAAAACAATTTAAGAATGCCGATTGATGTTAGAAAATATTTAATGGCGAACGTACTAAGATCCAAAATGTCACTTCTGTATTCATGATAAAAAGCCGAAAAAATGCACTTCGCAACGGGCGATTTGTGAATAAGTAGATATAGTGCAATTTAAGAATAAACTAGAACCAGCCACAAAATAAACAGGAAGGGTAGCGTTCGCTGTATTCACGCTATAATAAAGCCAATTCAGAAAGTCAAATTTTGTATATACAAAGCAGGCATCACTGCTAATTCTATATTAAGAAAAAACTGGCAATTGCCAGTAAGTCTACATCAAAGTTTTACGGGCGTGAAAAAATAGAGACAGCGTTTTTCAGCGTTTTCGTATATATTTGTCAGACAGTATATCCGGCGAAACATAAAGTACGCTTTGCATGGCCATAGTGACACTGTGAGGGCTGGTCATCACAAACGTGGCAGTTCGCAAAATGTGCATCACAAAATTGTCCTTATTTACAGTATGTTCTAGTGAGTTTGCTCAGATAAGGCCCTCTGAAAACTATCCATAAAGGATGGACGGGATTTGAAATTAAGCCCCATACTAGCGAAAATATACAAGTGAAGGCTTACCGTGGGTCATAAGATTCCCCAGCTTCATATTCGTAAGGGTAGGCACTGGGAGCATAGTATCGCGTGGGCTGAACGGCATACGATGAGTTTGCAGGCCAGTAGTCGGGATAGTAGGGAGCATTGGAACCGACAGAAGAAAAGTACGGGTGCGGCTCCTCGATTTCATGTGCCCTAACGGGGTCAAAGTAGGTACCGCCCAGGTCATTCGGAGGGAAATCGGATGAAGGGGCCGGATTATTGTCCATGTCTGGATGAGGTCCACAGCAACCATTGCAGTCTTCAGCATTCTGGTTGTGCTGGTTTTTCCGATTACTTTCAGCTTCCTCCTCCTAGAACAGGAAAGACCTGATGATACAAAGGTACGAGAAAATATATAACAACGGACAAATAATAAGACTAGGACTAACACTACAGTTTATATGTTATTATAATGAAATAAGGGCGGAGCGCCCGTCAGCGTGAACTAAGGACATGATAATCGCTACATGTAACCATTCGCAGGTGCGGATTCGAAGTTTTTCCCAAAGATGCAATGACTACATGTTTTGTTTTTTATTCTAACACGAGCGCACATATGAATAAATCACAAGCAAAACACAGATAATTAAATTAATCCGCACATTTCTACGTCTGATGCAAGCGCAGGTACAAGATTATGGTCTCGTACATAAGAAAGGATGCACCTTTATAATATAGGTGCAACCCAGTAGTATGCTGATATGTTTCTTACATAATCAAATTATATGGGATAGCTGGATAGAGTGAAAGGCAACTGAAAGAAAAACTGAACGTACACCGGATATATCATCCTCAAAATGACGTATTGCCTCTTCGAGTTCAAACATGTTTTTCGCAGCACACCTACTGAGATTATCATCGCGCGATAGGGATGAATTTTCCGCACTTTGTGTTTCTTGAGCACTTATACGAAAATCTTGTTTATGACCGCTAGAATCTTCGTTTTTGACGTCGTTGAAGTCAAGATGGTCTAACTCTTCTTCAATTAACTGATTTAACTGAAGGAATGATGAGATTTTTTGCTACATACCTCCGATCGCAAGCGAAAATCATCGTTCTCTTGTTCCACTTCATCAGATACGGATAGGTGCTGTTCAGGAAATTCCATGAGAGCCGTGGAAATACGTGTACACCGTCTAGATTTAAAACCTTACGCCCTACAACGAGAGTTTGGCCTCATTAAAATCGACAGCCCAGGACCAACTTAACAACAAGAGCCTAAAGCCCGTTTTCTATTGGACAACAATCAGATTGTCACAAATATGAACACCATAAGGTTGTGGTTTATAATACCGCTTTTAACATTTTGGACTACCGGGCTATGATTCTTCTGCAATCTACAGTGTTCCTTTCGAAATAAACACGAATACTTAAATTTGAAATGACCTTTGTTTAGAAGTAGGAATGGGCAGCGAAAGTAGCCGAACGGGACTTCAAAAGGGGCCATAATATGGAACGAACTAAGCAGGCAGGAAGAGCTCAAGGCGGAAATATAACATAACGACACAGAAGCAAGTAAAGATTTTATTCAGGAAAAATATCATCCACAGCCAAAATATGCTTAAAAACTCACAAATTTGCAAATCTATCCAACCCTTCTTGTATATGTCCCCATGCGCAACCACATTGACGTTTTAGTCGTTTGTATCTGGCTCGGCTTAGAGCATTAACTGTCTGGCAACGCTTATAAAACCGGGGGTTTACATATCATCGGAAACTTTTGTTCCAAAATATTACGCTATTACTTATTCTACTGCACACGCTTGTTATGCTTACGAGAACTATATGTAAAGAATCAACAATGTTTTTGAAATAATTCTGTCCGCAGCTCAAATACTTTTCGGGTAGATTGCATTTGATATCAGTATGCCAGTTCGATGCAGTTTGTGGAACACTTTGCAATTTTATATAAAGCTTGGCGTCTTACTGTGGATGCTGATGATATTTTTGCTCATCCTGTCATTATATAGTTTGGCAATGTTTAATGTGCGCATGCCTGTTCATTCCTTGAAGTTGCTCCTGTTTCAGTAACGTTGTATGCCATTTTGTCCAATCTCGTTTATTTCTTGGCATGAAGCTAAGTTTTCATTACGCACTCAGTATGATAATTTGGACGAGCATTTGCAGTCGAAAGGTAAGTACTTTAGACAAACATCTGGACTGCCCAAAGGCTCCGTCTCGTCCGATTTTCTCTTTTTTCCTCACACCCTTAAGCTGAAATCTTTCAACGGGCGCCTGCATGTGAAATCCATAATTTCAGCTCATCAACAAACATTATTTCTTCACAGGTGATAAGATCAAGGCAGTCGTTTACATATATATCAGAAACAGAATGGGACACAGAACCCTCCCCTACGGAACCCCACTCTGAACGATCTTCCATTTCGATTTGGCATCCTCATTAAAAGCACGCTGACGCTGCCCGTTAGAAGGTTTACTTACCGTTTGAGTAGATTGTTAAACACACCCACTTATACAGCTTCCATATCAGGAGTCTGCTTAGAGCCCCGTCGAATGTTTTGCTGAAGTTAATTTAGATCACAGTGGCGGAAAAACCCATTTCCATTGAATTCGCCGAGCTTTCCTAGATGTTAGCAAGTTAGTTAGACTGGATTGCTCACTTCCGTATCCATGTTGATGCGCCCTTGGCAATTTGTACTCCTAAATATGTCTCATCACTTCCGTTTCGATTATTTTCTCTATGAGTTTTTATTAATGCTTGTGGGACTTACTGGTCCTCTTTTTATGTGAAAGAGGTATGTCGTTTAGCTTCCAGGCTTTTAACTTCGCCTTATAGGTGAACAACCTGTATCTTTCACCTTAAACTAAGAAGACGCAGATCCTGTTCCCGAATATAAGAGAGGGATAAATATGCTTTATTTTGAAGAAGGATATCCAAAATATTTAGCAGAAAATGGCTCCATCCACTGGAGGGCAATTGATAAAGTAAGGCTAAAAGTCATAGAATATTTTTTTAGTATTCCGGTAACATAGGCAAACCGCAGTATAGCTATTTCGGGCTATTGGCCCTCATCAGCTGCGGGCAGCCAACTCTAGT